AGCATCCACCAACTCCTCACGGACTCCATCTCCAAGGCGGCGGGCACCATCTTCGCTCTCGCGCTGCTTCTCTCTGGCGTCTCGGCGGGTATCGTGTGTACCATTGCTGGGCAGATGGTTAGCGAGGGCGCACTGAACTGGAAAGTCCGTCCATGGCTGCGACGCCTGGCGACGCGGAGTATCAGCGTTACGCCGAGCATTGTTATTGCCGGCGCTGTTGGGCGAAAGGGCGTCAGCGAAGCATTGAATGCTTCGCAGGTCGTGCTTAGTGTCGTTTTGCCGTTTGTTACTGCGCCATTGATTTACTTCACTTGCAGAGACAAGTTCATGACGGTCCGGGATGGACCGGGCGGCAGCGCCCGATTCAGGGTCGGTAGTGCAGGGACTGACGAGGAGGAGTCCACAGCAATCCCTACGGACGGCACCGTCAAGATGGCGAATTCGTGGTACACTGCTGGCTTTGCGGTCTTGGTTTGGGTCATCATGGCCGCGATGAACGTGGCTAACTTGGTTCTGCTTGGCAAGGGTGAGTAAGTGAAGGGATGGAAACTAGCAGTATGCCCGGTGAGGGGTAATTCTGCTGTAAACGCGATGATGGCGTGTAGATGGAGACTCAAAAGTCGTTCGTCTCTGCTTTAGTTTTGACTTGGTCTGCTCTGTCTGTGTTTGACTTTTGACTTGTCTTTGGTTTTGTACTCTGTTAGCTTTGATCCGACTGCACTTTTCAACAAGTGTATTTAGTCAAGCAGTATTTTAGGCGAGGTCCAACCCTCTATCATAAAGTATCGTGTCTCTAAGAAAGGGATATTTCATACACACACACAGAAAATGTTGCCTTTTGAGCAGAGAAATTAGGGATGCAGACATACTTGTGTGTAACATCGCGGAATAGGTAATCAACTTCCACAATGACGATAAATAGGAGAGCCGATTTGGAACTGTTACAAAGCAGTTGAAGTAGAAAGGTTCCGAAGTTAGATGTGTTTACTCTGTAGTCGGAAGAGCCCCGCATAGGTAATCGGGTCGGCTCGAGTCAGGCGCTACCTTAGTCCAAGGTGCTCCGCATGTAGAGGAATATAGATTCCGCTGTCTTTATATGACGTCGAGGTTTATTGATTGCGCAAACTGCCTCCATTCTTCTATAAAAACGACTGTCGAATCGCAAGGACGTAACTCAAGGCCGCTGCCATTACGTGTACTGATTCTCTTTCAGCCAAAGCCTAGTCACTACGTCTCAATCCTTTAACGGCCCAAAACAACATTGCCGACATGTCTCATCTCAAGTATTATTCCTATGAAGGCGTAGGCCAGAGAAATCTCGCGGGTTTCAGCTACAGCCAGGCAGTGAAGATTGGCGACCGCATTGAGTGCTCTGGTCAAGGTATGTCGCGCTTCCAATAGTCGTCTCAAATCCAAACACAATTTGACACAATAACTCAGGCGGATGGGACCCCAAAACGGGAGAGTTTTACAAGGAAATCAACGCCCAAATCGATCAAGCATTCGCCAACGTGGATCTCAATCTCAAGGATGCCGGTGGAGCAGGCTGGGAACAGGTGTTCCGAGTCAACTCATACCATGTGCCGATTAATGACGAAGCTTTGGCAGCCATGGTACGGAATTTTAGAAAGTGGATGCCGCACCATAAGCCGATTTGGACGTGCGTGGGAGTACCGAGGCTTGGAGAGGACGATATGCGGGTCGAGATCGAGGTCGTCGCTCACGTTCCCGAAGAAGCTTCGAAGGCTTAAGCGTTGAGATTGGGTGAATTCAGAACCAGTTCTCGCCAACCTACATCATGAGGAACGATCAAGTCACGAAGGTTCGGTACACAAGATTCTAAGCAGCTCCATATGCGAAAGCAAATGTTATAGTATCCCAAAATGTCATATTCCCATTATTGTATCAGAGGTAATCTCATCACAAGATCCCAGTATCCGTTGAACGCCAATCACACCGAGCGGGTTCCAAAGGCGATGAACTCAGCCAGTGGGGTATAGTCGCTTTGATACATCATTTATGCCTTGCCAGCCTGGACCAGAAGAGCAGCGTGCTGCTCGGGGTGGGTCTTCTCGACGTTGCCCTTGGCCATCTTCTTCATGAGCATGTTGGCCTCGATGTCGACCTCCTCGCGGAGAATGAGACCGGCAGCCTCGTTGACGATGCGCCACCTGCCGTTGATGACGAGAGTTCCGACGGGGGGCTTAGCGTTGACGAGGGTGTCGACGCCGTCCTCGAGGTTGGTGATGGTGAGCTGGTAAGTGGTTTGGCCGATGGGCTTCTTGTCAGTGACGGAGTAGGTGGCGGACTGGCCGACGCCGACGGAGCCGGACTCGAGGTTGTAGGAGATGAGAGCCGGGCAGAGGGTCTTGACCATCAGGTCGTGGTTGTGGATGGCGGAGAGGACGGCGTTGCGGTCGACGCCGGCGGGCACGGGGGTGGAGACGACGGTGGAAGGCATTTTGGTGGGGGTTTGAAAGATCGAGGTATCGTGAACAAGTGAGTATGATTAGTCCTGGCTGAAGTATGTAATGAATTGCGAGGGTGGCAATGCACTATGACCAAAGGCAAGCAGGAACCTTCTTATAGATGTCTCTCTTTCCCCCTCGCTCAGGCGGGCAACAAACTCAATCATTTCGGACGGTTGGAGGTTTCCATACCACGCAACACCGTCTGCCCCCCTTCTCCCCCCTATACTTTCTTCATCCTTAACTCTGAATCCAACCATCGGAGCCCCATGGAAAGAGTGAACTGACCGTTGCGCCGCTGACGGTTCAGGACGGTATGGTTCGCGGGGGGCAAGTAGCAGGAGACGCAAGTAGGGAGGCTAAGTGGCACCGGGCCGGCCGTGCCCCGACCGTGCTCCCGCCGAGCCGGACGTTGAAGCATGACGCTAGGAGACCTCGATGCTGCACGCTAATGGGCTCGGGTTTTGTTTGTTCTTTCAGGGGCCCAGGGGAAGAGAAGGCGGGCATCCGTGGAGAAGTCCGTGGGGGGCTCTAGTTAACGCAGGTAAGATCAACAGACTCTCGATATTGGTACGAAAACAGAAGGATTTGGGTTGGTAGGATAGACATGTGGCGTTGAGAGAAGAAACAGTGAACAATTATCTCGATGGACATGTTTTCTTGGAAATGTTTCAGTCCAAAAACCATGTCTCTCGAACCTTGACCCAGCTGCGGTGGCTCTCGCTGTTTGCGTTTGGTCCCGAAGCTTTGGTCGCGAAGCCCCTACCATCTTCCCGAATGCTGCGTGAGACATGCCCATCACCCAGGTGTTCGTCCGAGACATGCATCTTGTTGCATAAGAGTTGTAGTTACGCGTGTCTCTGGAGAGCAGTCTCCGCATTCCCATCACACGGCCTGCGCACTCGAGCTGTAGCCCTACTTGGCACCTGCGCAAGCTTGGAGGTTACTGGAGCTCATTCAAACCCCTAGTTTCGTCCCAACCACAACTTAGTGAGACCTGCACTTGCAAGATCGTCCACGACAGATTACATTGAAGTCAATGTGAGGCTTAAAATATCCTCAGGATTGTCTCATCGTCGAAGAAGACATGATCTAGTGAAAGAAAATCCCCTTTGCGGCGTAAGCCGTTGACAGCCATCAGGGAGGGATCGTCGCGGGTCGGGATTACACTTATCAAGTCTCTGCAAGTAAGCGTTTCCCCCCGAAGACTTCGAGAATACACACCCAATCAATTACCTCCTAACCCAGTCTTCAAACCAACCGTCTGAGTGTCTACGTAAGGCCAGGCGTTGTTATGATCGACAATATGGCTAGTTCGCTGCGCCGAGGGTATGCTTGAGGTGTCGTCGATGCGTTCCAGGCGCGCTAAAACGCAGACCCGCTGTCTGTCCGTGTCTCTCGGTCATGGCGTCGACGGTTGCACCTCGTTGTTGCTGTAAAAGCGAATGTCGATTTTGGGGCGTTGCGATCGAGTATCGATGTCCCTGGCTGAGCCGCGTCGTCAATATGCGCTCAGCATGCGCTTAAAGGTAGGGGTCCAGGTTATGCTCTTGTGCGCTCTGGAGAATCAGGGAGGCGATAGAGCCTTCATGTTCGTCAGAGGTCCGGTAATCCTTCACTTCAGCTCGCCTTCCGTTCATGCGTACCGAGAATTTGAGATTGGCGACAATTCAGAGCATCAGAAAATTCCAGGAGCATTGAGGAGCATTGAAATCCTTCCCTCACAAAGACGGGAGTAATCAAGTCGGTGGCCCGGCATAAGATGAACCGACACGGTGTTGATCCGCACGGGGATCTTCTCTGACTTCTATTTTGGGTTTCCCGCGATCTGATCTCCGGGCCAAGGCCGGAAGTGGTCTTATTCTCGGACTGGGGACTTCATGTCTCTTGTCTAGGCAAGTATATTCTCGCTATCGCATCTTCCAAGCCACTATTGAGAATCAGAGCTTCTCGCGTATTCATCTCAACAGACAGATCTTACAGGATTTTACTTGCATCTTACCAGGATAACTACATGAAGATTCCCTGCTCTTCGCGGCCCCACCCGGCGTGATCCAAGCGTCCGGATACACCCCCCGACGGAGAGCTGGAAGCCATCACAGCATAGCAGATCTTACGAGACCTCGATAGTAGCATTAGAGCCTCTGGACACGGGAGCGCTTCTTTGTAGCAACACCATGAATTGGCTTGGAATAAATGGAATTCGACTCTTTGTCAACAAAATTCTGGCTCAAAAGTCATGAACAGATATTCGTGCCATGACGCAGAGGGCGGAATATGAATTCCTCCCCCGCTCGTTAGTCATCCATTGATTCAAGTCCATGTGAGATTGGCCCCACCCTAGACCATCTCAGTGCTGTGGTTGTCGGGCAAGAGAAATTGCGCACTACTACCAAGTGTCAACCGTTGTGCGTCCGACTTTCCTCATTGAACCAAAATCGAAGGTGTCCGCGGACTGAATCAAAAAGGATTATATCATCCGTGGTGGAGGACCCTTGCCCATCTTATTTGTGTCTCCTCTCCTTCGCTGCTATGCCCCAAGCGTCGTCGGAGCGGGCCGCAAGCCAACCGAAGCGCAGGTACACGTCAAAGGCGTGCGAGGAGTGTCGGCGCCGAAGGGCAAAGGTGGGTGGAATATATTTTCCTTCCAGTCGATCAATCAGCCCACACCTTTTTGACGGCTGAGTTCAGGCTATACACGCATTCCGATACTCGTATAGACAATGGACTGATGCTCTGGCCGAAAAGTTTATGATGCTGACTGAAAGGTGCCAACATTTAGTGTGATGGACTGCGGCCCATTTGTGGCCGATGTTCCGAACGTGCCATCAATTGTCTCTATAGGAGTGAAGAAGACGGCCGTAAGCCTGCTTCCAAGACATACGTACAACTTTTGAGAAACCGAATCGACCTCCTGGAAGCCGTGTTGCAGTCCCACACCATCGATGTCGAGGCTGCCGTCGCCCAGCTCTCGGCCACCGGATCAGCACCACAACTACCGTCCATCGCCAGCACTTTAGCAACCGGTAGCGATGCTGGACTCAGCGTCTCGGCTTTTGACGACCTATGTGCCACCTTTGAAGGAGCTCTCTCCCTAGATGAATCGGTGAACTACGATCAGGATGGAGAGATGCGATACTTCGGCCCGGCGAGCGGCCGCTTAGAGTTCCAGAGTGGTGCGTATCGCTTAGTGTTATCCCCGGCTGGGTTGGTTATTGACAAGTCTCTAGAATCTACGCCCGAGTCCGACGATCATGGCAGCCCATTGACATCCAAGTCCACGGAGACTAACCGTTACATCCTCCCTCTGGAGGCAGACGTCTACCCGGAGGATCTTACCACAGAACTGATAGACTTGTTCTTTGAGTATCAAAACCCCTGGTGCCAAGTGGTTGATGAGAAGCTATTCAGAGAGAGTATGAGAACGCAGGGTCGCTTCTTCAGTCCTTGTTTACTCAACTGTATACTTGCTCTGGGATCACGCTACTCCGATAGGACCGACACCCGTTCCATCCTAGACGACCAAAACTCGGCCGGCAAAGTCTTTCTCCAGAAAGCTGAAGTCCTTTTACATTATGACATGAAACGACCGAACATCACGACAATTCAGTCAATGTCCATTCTGGTCGGGGTCTATGTGGTATGTTTATGGATGGAACTAATTGCCAAGTTTCCTATGCTCACTTCAAATAGTCCTACGGATGCGATGCTGCCGGATGGCTACACCAAGGAATGGCAAATCGACTAGCTCTTGATATGGGACTCAACCTTGACGCGTCGTCTTTGTCTGGCACGTGCCACATGTCCAACGAAGAAGTAGAGTTGAGACGACAGATTTATTGGGCCCTATACTGTGACGACAAACTTGCCGCCATATACACGGGGCGAGTCTGTAGTCTTTTGGTAAGATCTGTTCCGCTATGTCACATATTCAAACGTCTATGAGAGTACTGTCTGTATTGACATTGTGATGCAGGATGTCCAAGGCGCTGTCCATTTACCGTCAACATACACACCGGAACAAATGAGTGCTGGAGCAGCAAACGACTCATGCGACGTAGACAGATGCAATAAAAAGGTCCTCGTACACCGCGGTCTAATAGGCCTCTGTCGAATCCTTGAGAACATCCTCCTGGCTCTGTACGTCAGCTTCCCTTTCACCCACACAATCTCTCCCCTTTTTGGTGAACACGCAACTAACAAACCCCTCAGATACGCCCCAAAACCACTCTACAAAGGCCCGCAAAGGATATCCTTCCTCCAATCCTGCACCCTCGAGCTCAAAACATGGTTCTACGAACTCCCCGCTGACCTCCGCATCGACAAACACAACGACCTGCCTCAAGTCTACACCCTCCACATGGTCTACCACACCTGCTGCATCCTCCTCTTCAAGCCCTTCCTCCTCAAATCCAAAGACACGCCCCCGGCCCTTAAAACAGACACGGCTAAACGCGCAGAGGTCCTCTGCATCGAGTCGGCCAAACGTATCTGCCACGCCGGCAAAAAGTACCGCCAGGTCTTTGGCTCGTTCCGGCGGAGCCCTATCACCGCGACGCACTGCACGCTCACCGCAGCGCTGGTGCTTATTCAGTACGCGAGCCCTGACCCGGAGTTTGCGAATACGGGAAGGCCGTGTTGTACCGTCTACATTGAAGCGTGTCTGGAGGTCCTGGCGGAGCTGGGCATCTCCTGGCGTCCTGCCGCGAAGATGCGGTCCGATCTGATCAAGTACCTGCACCAGAAATACCCGGAGCGGATGCCAAACTCCATCCTGCAGGAGCAAGATGCCCGCAAGGACCCGGATCCGGATCCAAAGGCACCGGCATCGGCGGCGGTGGTAGAAAGCGACACCAATGGTGCAGTATCAAGTTCTATGCAGCCGCAGCCGACGCTAGAGCAGAGCCTGTGTCCCTTGATCAACATGATTGACCAAGACTTCACGTGGGACGAGTCCAGCGCGGCGGACCAGACGCTCCAGGGGGCGTTGCTGAGTCACGGCGGATCGGAGTCGGCTTTCAACACGCAATTCGCTCTGGCGGAATCTATCGGTGAACTTGGCGAGCAGAATGGTCTGAGTTTCATGGATGATAGCTTCTGGGCGGGGATGAATTTCGACATGAATCTCGAAATGCAAAATCCGTGAAAGAAAAAGAAGAAGAAAGCAAAACAAGAACAGAGAAAAGCGCTAGGAGACTGTGGCCTGAAGAAGCGAGAGGTTCTGATTCTACCTCGCGTAGACGTGAAATCCTTAGTTCAGTAGATACAAATCCAAACCGGACAGCCAGGCTTCTAGTCTTCTGAAGCTTTTTTCACAATCTACGTATCATAGATGCTTAGAAAACCCACCCTTTGCGGAAGTCTCGTAATTTTTGTCACCAAGTGTTCACCGTCCCATGAGGATAGTGATGAAATCAACTGAGTCTTGTAAGAGTACGATTAATCATAAGAAGCAGCATCTTCCACTGCCGTACAGGCGCACCAACAGACATATCGATCGTGTCTTGGAAAAAGGAAAGAAGAAAAAAGGGTGGCGGCGTTCTGTATGTTTTATTATTTCTGACTGGGCTACATCAATGTATTCGTAGATCTGAGATCACTCTGGCCTTTTACAATATAATCGAAGAAAGCTCCGGAGCTCTAATTTCTTAGATTACAACTTTTCTATTTCTGTACTTTAGGTAATATAAGTCGCTTTCTAAACTCATCAGCTTTCTCAGCTTTTCTAAATCCATATGCATTTTCACAGAATGCGAATCCGGCACCGAAAGCATCGTCGAAAAGATTCAAAGACAACACATAGAATTCTCGTACTCAGCTACTTGTCTCAATCTTCAGACGGCTATGATACGGCACGTCTTGTCACAATAAAGTTTTTCAGATTTAGCAAGCCGTAGTCAAAGCTATGGTTTTGTTCGGAGATTCCATTGCCCCGAACCTCCTTTTTCAGAATTGAGTCCTGAGTCCTCGTGAGGTGCAGCATTTTTGACTTACAGCCAGCCTTTTCTTACCCCGCAAAGCTTGATTCACCTGAGGTGAGTTGCCTACAGTTCGTAGATGAAACGAGATTATGATTTCAGAACTCCAAACGAATTCCCATTCATGCACTGTGGGGGGTTGGTCGCGCTCTCTCACGTACGAACACGAAGGCTTTCTGTCTCCCTGGCGTCCTGCTGAACATGCAAATTTTGAGAAGATCATTCCGAGGCCCATCGCAGGGCAAATCGCCAGGCAAGTGCGTGCAGTTAAGTACTGCATTCACGTTGAAGTCGGCCACTTAGATTATGGGTATAAATGAATTTCCCTACATACAACAACTCCTATGAGCATTACATGACCACATATTAAGCCAACGCATATAAGCGCCTGCGAGTGAACCGCATCGATCCAACGTCCATCAACAATAAGAAACGTAACCCCATGATTAGCAAAGACCCAAGGAACTTTTCCAAACCCCATGGCTACCCTGATAGGTAGATGCAATGCACCCAGCTCTCCTCAACCGAGACCTTTCCGTACCCCCAAACTAATGACTGCGATAATGCAGTGGCATTACAAGCCGTTGCTAGGCCCCGCACCTCCAATGTGTCCGTGGTCTCCGTCGTGGCTGCCAACAGGGCGGTTCTTGGGCTGGCCAGCCTCGCGGATGTGCAGTCCCAGAGCGGTGGGATCAATGTTCCTGTGTCCCCAGAGCAGGAGGAACCCGAAGCCGGGCTTCGCAAGAACATCCAGAATACCATAGAAGACAGCCTCAGAGTCGGGGTGGATTAGGTTACCGCCCTCCGAGACGCCCCAGGCAATGGGGTACAGGAACCACAAGAAAATGGTGAGAACACCGCAGTTGCGATACGTGGAGCTGACCTGCCCGCCCAGCGCACCAGCGTGCTTCCGTCCGTCGATCACGAGCGCGTAAACGACGTAGAAGAAGGCAAACATGCCAAACACCCAGTAACCCCACTTATAGCTTGTGCTCGTGAGGGCACCGACCAAGCCCGTGACAACCATGATCTCGTCGGCGAGGAGGGCGATCATAATGCTAGGCCAGGGCATACCGGCAGTGAGAAGCAGGTCCAGCAGCAGCAGCGGGGTGGTGATGAACCAGTCGATGTATCGCACGTAGTAGATCTCGCGTGTGCCGGCGCCGCCAACTTGGCTATTGTTGCGGGGAAATTCAACCTGGATGGGGACCTGGCCCAGCCCGGCGCCCATGGAGAAGTACGCTATGCAAGCGACAAAGGTAATCGTGGCGGTGATGTAGTGGAAGAGACGGTGCGTCTCTCGCTTGGTAAAACCCATTCCAAGAAAAACGAGTGTGGAAAACGCCATAATCGCGCAGACGGCAAAGTACCAGTCCGAAGCGCGGGCTGAGATGCCCAGGTCGGCTTGTTGGCCAACGCGGGAGTTGGTGTTGAGAGCATCGTTCGCCATTGTGAATGTTGTTCGCAGCTCGGTTTTCTGTGTCAATTGCAAGCTGGCGGGAGACTTCGAGGAAAGCGCTACTGGTTGAGTATGCCAGGAAATGTTTTGATACTGCTTTCTATTCTCTTATCCTTATAGTGAGGGGGCTGCTACATGCCATATATCTTCATCTGTTGTCCTCGGCCAACATCAGATTTAGGCCCGAGCTAACGCGATCCCAAAAGCCCCTGCCGGGTGATCCGCATCTAGCCATGTCGGATGACTTCACCCAGACGAAGAGGGGATAGGTGGTATTGAGATTTCCATGAGCTCTGGATGACGTTTAGACTCGAAACACCAACCTACCGCAAGTTGTAGACGATAGGCTAGTCGTCGACGCGAGGACACCATCGCGATGGAGGAGTAGCTTCGCCGTAGCCCAAACAGCGCGACACCCTCGCAGGTGAGACTAGGCTAGCACCGGTTATTGGGCCAAGACGGGCGCTATGATATTCCAAGCTCGAGCCGTCCCTGTCAACAGTGTCAACCGTCCAGAAACGACTGCAACGCAAAGGGATTCTGCCACTCGTCCTTCAGCCTAGAAGCGGGGTCAGGCGAATGAGATCAAATGAGTTGTGAACTCTCTCCCCGCGCAAATCCTTGACGAGTCCATGACGGCAGGAGGCTGTAACCCTGGTTGTCAGACTTGAAGCGGAGAGTTGTTCCGCGCCAGAACGAAAACGACCCCTCTTCAAAGTAATTCACTCAGTGCGACTGGGGAATGATTTGAAAATAGTTTTTTTTTCTTCGCCTCGAAGTAGTGCGATTGTGACAAACTTCCGACGTAGGCACGTAAGGCGGTTGGCGCAACAAGAAAGGATTGGAGGTCGATGAAGTCACCACTTTTGCCGGTTTCTAGGCCGGAAGCTGCCGAGTGGTATTCCCGGCCCCACTAAGCCGGAGCTAGCGCCGGCAAGTGATTTGATGTCTGCAGCGCAAAGCCCGAAAGACTTGGCAGCAGACGGGATAGTAGGTCTAGCCCGTCCAGCTTTTCTTCAGGCTAACGCTCCAACGGCTGGCAAGACATCATTAGCTTTATTCTAGAGGCAGCCATAAGGAAGAAAACGAATTTGGCTTCTGCTTGGTTTGCCGATCGCCAAGCTGTGTGCGCGATCTGTCTCATGTCCACGATGCCTGCCACCCTTGTGTCAAAACAGGTCTGGTGACCATGTGCTGCACAGTCGTGGTTCGCACTAAGTTGCAGATCTTTTCGAGCCGAACTTACACGCGAAGTCTCTTTGACGAGTTGGCGGCCGCATGTGTTATGGAGGCATTGGGAATCGCATTCCGTTGACCGATTACCATAGCTGTAGCAGGGCGTGAGCACAGGCAAGCTTGCGGCATGTCTCCACGCGTCCAGCTCAAACCGGATCCGAAATTATTTGCGTAGACGACCTGGACCGCACACTAGAGAGGAGAAAGGTCATAAGCACTTCCGAACTTCCGAGTTCCTCGTCGTCTGATGTCGTCATCAAGCCAGAATCAATTGATGGGCAGTCTGTCGGCAGTTCGAGCACGGATTGGAATTGTGGTCCAATGTTCGAGCGCAATCAGGAAACCATCCCGGCCAACGTCGGCCAGGCGATACAACCCACCTTCAACTGTGCCCGGAATTCTGAAGTACGACAGCCGTCCCTGAACTCTAGTCAGCTTCACAAAAGACAATTCAGACCTGCTGTCTGAGTCGTCTGGTCGTTATTGACAACTCGACATTGCCCTTCATCGCCGAAGTTGAGCCTACATGTTCTTGACAGACAATATCGCATGTACCTTGGCTAGGCAACGTCTGCTCTACACGCGAAGATGACAGACGAATGTCGGGGAGACGAGAATGCTCGTCATCCGTGAGTCCATATTGCTTAGCCCTTTTACTCATAGCTGATCTCTGACTGCTTCCTCGTGTAGTTACCTGTCAGGGAACTTTGCGCCGATTCAATCCTGCCTCCCCTTGACTCCCTGCAGCCATGAGGGCACGATCCCTTCTGATCTAGCAGGAGGCCAGTATGTCCGCAATGGAGGCAACCCGGTGACGAACGATGATGCGAGCCGAGCGGCGCACTGGTTCGATGGGGATGGCATGCTTAGTGGTGTTCTATTCCGCCGGGCAGGTGAAAAGAACACTTTGGTCCAGCCGGAATTTGTCAACCAATACCTGTTGACCGACGTCTACTGCCACGCAAAAACCAACAAATACCTGCGGCGACCAGTAGTTCCAAGCATTGCGACACTGGTGAATCCTGCCGTGAGCATGTTTCGCATCATCTTCGAGGTTTTCCGAACCGTGTTCCTGGTACTCCTCTCGCGACTCCCAGGTTTCGGTCGTCCTATCAAAAAGATCAGCGTCGCCAACACCAGTGTCCTATTTCACAATGGGAGAGCATTGGCAACGTGTGAAAGCGGCCCCCCTCTCAGATTCGCGTTGCCGAGCTTGGAGACTATTGGTTGGTTCAACGGAAGGACAGCAGAAAACGAACCGCGACAAAGCACCGAGAGTGGCTTTGGGGGCAGAGGTGTCGTATCCTTCATGCGAGAATGGACCACTGCTCATCCGCGAGTTGATCCGGTAACGAAAGAGCTCATTACGTTCCACGCGACCTTCGTCCAGCCATTTGTGCGTTACTCCGTCGTGCCAGCGACGACAAAGTCCGGGCCCGGCCGCTCTCCGGTGTTCGACTTACCGGTTCCTGG